AATATGATAAAAAATATACCACATGTCAGAGTCGACTATCAGATCCACGAACTTCGAAAAGGCGCTTGAGATCACGCACCGAATGTCACTCGGAGATGATGATGGGCGGACGTGATTTGCTGAAACGCCTCCAAAGGGACAGATAGATGAGGTCATTCGTGACATTCACACGAATATTTTTGCAGTGAGATGCTGACTGTTTCGTTTATTATCATGAAAGCACCAGATATGTCAATAGTATAACAAGGTATCTTCTTCAATCGATTATACATACAGGGTGGTTCAAACCGTGACGTCAACAATTGGATTCCACTCGTCTATCAGGGGTACCCATATAGTGCATTCCATTTACAACTGGCCACCATGAATAACTTCTGGTACAATGATTTGCAGGAAAAATAAAAAAACAGGTCAACAAACCTTAGTAAAATAGAGGTAGTGTTTAAAGATTTTCATGGAAAATGGGAAATAAAAAGATCTATGTCTTTTTACCACTTTCATTCATTACTAATGTTACTGCAGTTTCGTTTTATAAGGTCCTTAAATATCTACTTTAGGTAATAATACGGGTGCTTAACTCAATTGAGTACCTGAAATCTCTTAACCTGGACAAAGTGGATACGCTAATTCGAAAACTGATGAATAAACTAAATCGAGTTGATCAATTAGCAGATTACATCGGCAACACTTATGCTTATGACTTTCCAAGGATTCCAGATGGTTGAATTTCCAACCTTTGCTTGCATAGTGCAAAATTTAGATCGTTTAGATTCGGGAACTTGTAGTTGCATTCCAAGGAATGGTTTGAAAATGTCGAATCATTATTACCTAGTCTTGAGGACCTTTCATGTATAGCATACCGTTTTAAGAAATTTCGACCACACTATCTCACATAAACACTATTACATTTCGGACACTTAAGCTTATAAACTTCAGATATCTCCATCTCCACTTTATCTTTGGCATTAAAAAGGAAATTAGATGACCTACGTGTGGTCTGAATGCCACTTCCAAGTTGTTTTTTTCTAAAAAAATCCGCAATTGTCTCTGTTCTTTTACCAAAATATGTTAGAGTTACAAATTTCTTGATTTCTGGTTGTTTGATCTGTAAGGAAAACCCGGAAAATCCTGCAGCATCACATCATCTGAAGATCTCGATCTGCCAATGTCCTCTCTTTCATAGAAAAAATTGTAGTGTGTCTCCAGAGGCTCCAATAAATTCAAGACATCGCCAAAACACTCAGTGACACGACTATCGTCAAACTTAAACCAGTCCGTTTCATCTTTGACCAAGGCGTAATAATGACCAGATTCAACGCCAGAACCGCAGTAAACAATGACTGCATGAAGATTTTAATAGTGGTATGCTAGATTGAAGTGTTTATCTATTTGGAACATGTTATTATCAGATTGACTGGTGCCCCAGATATACTTGTTGTCATATAATAGTCAGTTAGTTTGGCGCATATTTGACAATACAGTTTCAGGTGATTTAACAATAAGCTTTGCACGAATTGGTTATCAGTCGTATTAGGAAACGCTAGTTGAATTTTTCGAAAGTTACATACGTTTTTGCTACCTCTTGAACATGTACTACAAAGTAAACTAAATCAAGGGGATGAAAGCCGCCACTAACAAAGCAATAAAATAACTTTGGTAACCCACTTTTCTTTCTTCATAAAATTTCAAATCTCAATTTAGTTAAAGCCAACAAAATAATCCTCTTCTGGATAATGAAAAATTATATTCGCCATGGTTTACCATAAATATTTTCAAGATTCTTCATTAAATCGTGCTAATCTCGTGAATTGAAATGTTAACTCCACAAGATACACAAGTTTATTATTTGAGTTTCCTCTTTTAATTACTTCTTATGAAGTGATTCGAGAGCAATTTCAGAGTTCCCAGACAACCGCAGAATTCACCAGCGTCGAATTTTATTTCAGAAAGGGGCTTTCTATTATGATCCCTTCATAAATTGAAATTAGATTTCTTTTTCATTTCAAGGGTTGGCTTGTCGAATTTTAACACATTCAAAGGTGGGGTGACATGATTTGTGTGCTTCTTTATTACTAATAGACTAGTTCATAAGTCAAAATAAATAAACTTTGAATGTTCAAGCCAGTCTCGGATATACATTCTGCATTTGTCTGCCTGCAAGTGTGCCCGTTCCAAAATTGAAGGTCGACTCTTTCAGTTGTATTGCCAATTGCATATGCAGAAAATTTTCTGTGAAGATTCCTGCACTGACGCCTGTCGAATAAAATCCAACGCCATTCGTGGTATTAGCCAGTGGGGTAGTTGTTTTCTGATAGGCGTCAGTCCATTCAACCTACTGTATAGGTATATCTGAGACTGGCTTGAACATTTAAAGTTCATTTCTTTCGATTTGTTTACTGCCAGGCTTTAAGCACATCCCACTGACTAATAAGATAATTCATAAGTGTAATTTCAGTTCACCTTCATCGTAAATTATGATTGAGTTGTCATTCGATTAGTAATTTCCCATACAGTAATTTACGATTTGAACCAAGTTGCACTAACAAATAATTTTGAAGATTAGTGTCGAAAACTTCGGGCTGGTAGGCCGAGGTCCAATGGAACCTGAAGTACCAAACGTTTCGTCTACCATTGCTGCAGACATCATCAGTATATGCGTTGACTGCGTTGACGAAGTTTATAAATCGAAGTCTCAGCAAATCCCAGTCTTTTCTTGTTTGTCCAGCACGAAGTAGGCGAGTGTCTGAAGAAATATAAGTTCAAATCAAATACGCTCTAATTGAAAAAAATATATGCAGAGGTAATTTGATTGTGACTACTAAATTCTAGTACTTCAAAATATCGAAACGGGTCGAAAAATTTCTGCAATAAATCATTTCCATTAGGTTCGATCACATTTTTTGCACATTGAATGAATCATACCGTGAAAATGTCTATTTTGTTTCCATTCAATTTCGTCTTGTTTTGATAATTCGAGTAACTTCAGTAGTTGCTCCCTCTTTTCTCTATTGTACTTTGTATATTTGAAGTTTCCGGAAAATCTTCAGACTAGGAGCAATAAAACCAGCCCAAATCCCACCTTAGCTGGCGCTTATGAAATCCCAACTGGCTCTCCAGTCTTGCAATTTTCCTTCTAATCGTGGTTATTTGATATCCTTTCACTTTGTACTTCCTGACTCTCGAGTTTTATCAATAGTAAAATATACGCATCCCAAGTGGATATACCGCCGAAGTCGAGTATCCTGATGGGGATAGAAGGAATACGAAATGATACATCTTTGCCGAGCACATATTATGTCTGGAAAATCAACTCGGAAGATGATTGGCGAAGAGAATGTGGAAACCTCTCGAGAATGCAATTTGGAAACGAATTAGCAGGAACGCTATTTCTGGAAAGACGAAAAAACAGGAGAGTTCACAAGCAGCATAATTTGTATAGGGTAATTAATTAACAAGGATTATATTAAGCACATCTTCTTGATTGTGTTTGTTGTTTCGTGATCTTCCATTATCTGACAAAAAAAAATGGTTATTAAAAAGTCGACACCAGTGTGCAAAAAGCTAACTAATGAATATACTGAAAAAGTTGATCTGCTTCAGTAGAGTAAAAAACGAATGGCCAATGAACTTGATTTATTTTTCTATACTGACAAGGAGACACTTCTCTCTCGGAATAGCAGTCCGCGTTTGGTGGCCTGGTTTTCATGACACTGCTACGGATGGTTTTTTCAGATTTGAAGCAGGTTCTAATGTTGTATTTGGAACCAATTCTTTTTATCCTTTCTGACGATCCTCTGACATAGAGGAAGGGCAAGCACTGGTAATGACAACGTCTACCACGCCGACGACCTAGATTCAGATCTCATACCAATCGCTTTTTCAATTGAATTTCCCTCAGCTGCCGATGACCACTAGGACCACGTGATGAGGGTGCTCAGGAGTGATGGCCTGAGGGGTGAGGCGTAGTGGAAGAGATTCAAAGAGCCCACGCTCTTTGAATCTCTTCCATACTCATTCCATCCTTCTCTGCATCGATAACGTCACACTTTTCTCTTTTCCACTCACTAAAGTCTCTCTCTGAAATACTCACCGACGACGCGCGACCTTGAAGTGAGCCAGAACCCGTGTTGTTTGTCTACTCTTCTCTTCCTTTGAGGTTCTTGCTGTCTTCTAGCCAAAATCTGTTCCATCATCACTTTGGTGTAACCATTCCATTGAAGATCTTTTTTGATGATGCCTAGTTACTTCTCGAGATTTTTCATCGTAATATAGAACATGAAAGCATGATCCACTAGAGTCTTCATGATTCCTCTTCTGGTAGATTGATTGTGATTGGATTCATGATTCAAATACTGTCCCGTGTGAGTGGGTTTTCGATATGCAGATGTTTCTCACTTGGTGTTGGTCCTCTTCACCGATAAGTCTAAGAATGGCAATTCGTTTTGGATTTCCTTCCCCATGGTGGAGGTGATAAAAGATTTCACGCTGTTAATACACAGTTTGCGTTTCATTATCCAATTCCCGATACTTTTTTGACATAGTAGTATGTCATACATGTCATCAGATTTTATAACTTGAGATTTGTGGAATTTGTCGTTATTCACCTCCTACTTCATAATTTTCATTTGATATTTAATATTTCTTTAGATCGGTTTTGTTACCAGATGGTTCAAAATGTAGAGTATTGGTCTATGGAATCGTTTGGCAGAATAGGAAAATGAATTAAGTAATTGGAAAAGTAATTGAATTGAGCTGGAAGAAGTTGCATTACTAAAGGATTTACTATAAACATTGTACTATTACAGTGAATTTTTCATAATTTCACTACAAGACCAACATAGCTACCTCCCAAACGATGACGGGTAATTAGTTCAGAAAATGACAAGTGAAGTGAAATGAAATTGTAATTATTGTTATTAAAGTCATTTCTGAATGAATTTGGAGCCGACGGTCGATTATATCTAAAATATTACCAGGATAAATCTATTATTCACCACCAGGCACTTTCTGCTCATTCTCACTTCCGCTCTCTTTGTTTCAGTCCTCCGCGAAGAGTTCAAGATAATGCCATCCGACACCAGGGTGGCCGCAGGAGAAACCGCCCTTCTACAATGCGGAGCACCGAGAGGCCATCCGGAGCCTAATTTGGTATGGAAAAAGGACGGCAAGGAAATGGACCTGGACGGACGCAGAATACGCACAGTCGACGGGGGTAATTTGATGATTTCCGACGTCAGACAGCATGACGAAGGCCGCTATCAATGTGTGGCACACAATTTGGTGGGGTCAAGGGAGACACCACCCGCCACTTTGACGGTGCACGGTAAGGAAATTGATTTTTTCTTTTGCCCTCGCCGATTTTCTTTCGCTTGTCGCTTTGCCTCTTCTACTTTATGGGCGATTTACAGTCGCTGAACTGTGAATGGGTTTTTGGATCATTGTCGTCAGTCGTTGAAAGGAAAGCTCTGTTTATTTTCTTGGACGCCAGAATTGGCGCAGTGAAATACATTTTCATTCGTTACTATACAGGGTGTAACTAAGTAAGTGTAAAACATTCAAGGAGGTGATTCCTCATCGAAAAAAAGATAAGATCTTTCATATAAAGGAATTTCATTGGAGCATCCCTTGTTAAGATACAGCTCCTTGAAGGGGGCACATAAAATTTGTAAAACAATTTTTTTCACAAGCACTAAAAAAGTTACAATATTGAAATTAACCTGACGTTTTGTACTATCAAAAAGACACCTAGCCAGAAATTCATTTGGTTTACCCCATGTTTGTAAGGGGTGGAAAACGCAACCCCTAAAATTTATTTCCAATGTAACTTTTTGTCTTATTATTTGTTTACCATTTAAAAATTTATTTCCGATAGCC